CCTCGTGTGACTGTAGAGTGATGACGTCGAGCTCGAGTCCTCTTTCCGTGCAGCTCTTCAGTGCGTGAACGACCTCGGCGTGCTCCGCCCACCTGCAGTCTGCACCATTCACAGCCACGATATAATCCCCCTCACGAAGCCCCGCCTCCTGAAATACACGCTCATGATGTGAAGCATGCAGTACAAAAAGCACTTTAAACGGGTCATCGGATGCAAAATTCACTTTCTTGATTCACTGCATGTAAGTGTGTCTTTAAAGTGTGTGGACACAACCACCATACAATGAAAAAAAAAAATTCACTCCTTTTTTTTTAATCCTCAAAAAGCCTAAACACTCTTAATAATCAAGTCGTTTGGATTTTCTGAGCAATATGAATCATATTTCTCCTGCTCCACCCACAACCACTGACGGACTGTCCCGTATTAGCATATTACCTGTATTAGCATATTTCCTATATTAGCATATTTCCCGTATTAGCATATTTCTGCCCTCAGCCATTAGTATCCACCTTATTCCCACGCCCCATGATGCTTTGCGCGAATTATGGGTGTAACTTCCGTTAAGCTGTGCACAATCAGTGAAAGGCTCGCTCTATGAACGCAATACGTTAAAAAAGTGTCACAATGAGATGACATTAATCGACTCACCCTTCAACCATCGAACATTAAAATAAAAGTTTAAAAAGTTTAAAAGAATTAACAAGGTACTTTCAACAGACCAGAAATAGCCCCATAAGCGCGAGTCTTTGGTTAAATATCACTGTAGTAGTCTAATATACACTCACCGGCCACTTTATTAGGTACCCCATGCTAGTAACGGGTTGGACCCCCTTTTGCCTTCAGAACTGCCTCAATTCTTCATGGCATAGATTCAACAAGGTGCTGGAAGCATTCCTCAGGGAGTTTGGTCCATATTGACATGATGGCATCACACAGTTGCCGCAGATTTGTCGGCTGCACATCCATGATGCGAATCTCCCGTTCCACCACATCCCAAAGATGCTCTATTGGGTTGAGATCTGGTGACTGTGGAGGCCATTTTAGTACAGTGAACTCATTGTCATGTTCAAGAAACCAATTTGAAATGATTAGAGCTTTGTGACATGGTGGAAGTAGCCATCAGAGGATGGGTACATGGTGGCCATAAAGGGATGGACATGGTCAGAAACAATGCTCAGGTAGGCCGTGGCATTTAAACGATGCCCAATTGGCACTAAGGGGCCTAAAGTGTGCCAGGAAAACATCCCCCACACCATTACACCACCACCACCAGCCTGCACAGTGGTAACAAGGCATGATGGTTCCATGTTCTCATTCTGTTTACGCCAAATTCTGACTCTAACATCTGAATGTCTCAACAGAAATCGAGACTCATCAGACCAGGCAACATTTTTCCAGTCTTCAACTGTTCAATTTTGGTGAGCTCTTGCAAATTGTAGCCTCTTTTTCCTATTTGTAGTGGAGATGAGTGGGACCCGGTGGGGTCTTCTGCTGTTGTAGCCCATCCGCCTCAAGGTTGTGCGTGTTGTGGCTTCACAAATGCTTTGCTGCATACCTCGGTTGTAACGAGTGGTTATTTCAGTCACTGTTGCCCTTCTATCAGCTCGAACCAGTCTGGCCATTCTCCTCTGACCTCTGGCATCAACAAGGCATTTCCGCCCACAGAACTGCCGCTCACTGGATGTTTTTTCTTTTTCGGACCATTCTCTGTAAACCCTAGAGATGGTTGTGCGTGAAAATCCCAGTAGATTAGCAGTTTCTGAAATACTCAGACCAGCCCTTCTGGCACCAACAATCATGCCACGTTCAAAGTCACTCAAATCAACTTTCTTCCCCATACTGATGCTCGGTTTGAACTGCAGGAGAATGTCTTGACCATGTCTACATGCCTAAATGCACTGAGTTGCCGCCATGTGATTGGCTGCTTAGAAATTAAGTGTTAACGAGCAGTTGGACAGGTGTACCTAATAAAGTGGCCGGTAAGTGTATATCTGTATTGTGTAACAAGCCTTAATCAAAAATGTTCATTAACTTCAGCATTACGTGACACTTTATCAAAGTGATTTCCGTCATTTTGACAGATTATAAATTGCATTTACCTGTGAAAACAAAGGGGGAGGGGGAGGGGGGGTGAGCAGTTGCTCATTATCATTTAAAGAGACATGCACCGAAACGGGTCGCTGTGAACAGAGCTGTTTTCAAACTTTATATGAAGACCCTAAAGAATCATACTAACTTGTGGAAAATGGGCATCCGATGACCCCTTTAAATGTTACTGGCTCTACTGACGTCTCTTACCGCAGCACATCCACCTGGCAAAACCCCAGCAACCAGAACTGGCGAATCACCTCGAAGCGTGAGCCCAAGCCCCGCCTCTCCTCGAACCAGACACGCGTGACGCCTCGCCCAGCGATTCCGAGCAGAGAAAAGCGAAAGTGGTCCCTTCACATACAGAGGTGAACATTAAACACTTCTTTAACATTTACAGCATGTTACAGCATTAGTGTGTGTGTGTGTCTGTGTGTGTGTGTGAGTATTACCAGTCGGTGGAAAATATCAGTCACTCTGACGGCACTGAAATCAGGAGTTTTAATATCAGGCTTCTGCTGTGTGTGAGCTGTAGGCGACAGGTCAAAGGTCATGTTAAGAATCTCCAGCTATGTTTGCATTGGCGTACTACCTCTCCTATTTCTGCAGTAAAAACTGTGCATATTACGCAAACTGCCTGTATACATGGAATATATCAGTGGTTCTCAACCTGTTCTCAAACTTTTGTCATATCAAATCATTTTACTGATCATATATTATTTTCAGACATGTACTGACGCTACACTATGGAACGATATTCCGGACATTATTCAAAAGGAATTGCAAATTGTATTTGCAATTGCATTTTCAATTTGTGGACGCATATAATGTGACATAATCCAAACGCAATTGCAAATCGCGCATTACCGTTTGCATTTTCGTTTAAGCGAACGCACACTGACTGCCAAATTTCAAATGGAAAAGCAAAGTCCGTTTGCAACTGTGTTTCCCATATCTTACGAGATTTGACCCTGTCATATTTAAATAGCAATTTCAATTACCACGTCTGCTTTTTCACTTTCTCAGTGTAGCGTATGTAGCCAGCCAAAACTCAAATGGAATCGCAATTCCCTTAGTATTTGCATTTCCGATGCCTACACGGAAATCTGTCAATCAGTGTCGAGGGTGGGGTTATGCTATGGGGCGTGTTTGTGTTGGGAAGTGACATCACTCACAGTTGACGGTCAAGAGGTGTTGCCCTGAACAGACGCCTTCATCATCTGATCAAGACATTTTTTTATTGAATACAAAATTATACATACAACCAAGGCAAATGTATTCATCTACAGTGTCTAATAAGAACGAATAAAAGGCTCAACACAGTTTAAAGGAACACTCCACCGTTTTTTGAAATTGGAGTTATTCACTGTCTCCCCTACATTTAGATATGTGGGCAAATACATATCTTCATTTTAATCAATGTTTCATCAACAAATTGACTGTATTAATAAATAAGAAGCAAATATAGTAGACAATATACCGGTAATTAGGACACGGAGGCGCCGGCGCGTGAACTGGAGCGTCTCATAAATGAACCGAAACTCAGCGTTTAAGATAGGCCTACTTGTCTCGCATACCTGAGAAGTATAGAACGATTGAAATGTCTACTTTTAAACCAAATAATTAAAAACTAAAAGAAAGTGTCTGCTCTCTGCTTATGTAGGCTAATTCATATGAAGTGTGCATTTCTCTCTATAGGCGCGTTCACTACTGCGAAGGTGGCGAGTCTGCATCTCAACTTTATCTTTGCTGCCACAGACATAGAAAACTATGTTGAACAGAACACTGCCAGGCTAAGACAATGCATGCACTGAGACAAAAATGTATTTGCCCACATATCTAAATGTAGGGGAGACAGTGAATAACTCCAATTTCAAAAAACGGTGGAGTGTTCCTTTAAACTGTGTTGAGCCTTTTATTCGTTCTTATTAGACACTGTAGATGAATACGTTTGCCTTGGTTGTATGTATAATTTTGTATTCAATAAAAAAAATGTCTTGATCAGATGATGAAGGCGTCTGTTCAGGGCATCACCTCATAGTCTCAGCCTCAGACGTCACGCCCACGGAACGTTGGCTAAACGTCTGATGCATATGGTACACTTAACTGGAAACACTTCAGGAATGTCGAAGTCATCATCTGATTGGTTGAATTTTATCGGATTTCCGGGGGGGCGCGAGTGTCGCGTTTATTTTCGGTCCGCCGGGAAACAAAGCGCAGACGTGTGATTGCGGAAGAAAAACTGTTGTGTTTACATGAGTGACAATGAGCATTTATCAAGATCAGCTAAACGTAGGATTCTCAAAAGTATGCGAGGTTCACGGCATAGACTCTTGAAGTTTTCTTCTCCTTCTTTGATTTTCTATGCTGACTGACTTGTTGCACGCAGGTCTGTTGTTGTGGGGACATTTCCACGCCCCGAAACTTGACGCTGAACGAAACGAACTGTAATTGGTTGTTTGACATGTCGGTCAAACGGCCTTATGGGCGGGCCTTGGCCAAAGAAAGCTGCTATGAATTCCAGGGGTGCTTCTCATTTCTTATTTGTGCATCCTCGTTTCCTTTCCTCGCTTCCTTTCCTCGCGTCTCAGCTCCACCCCCTGTATGACGCGAGGGAAGGCTGCAAGGAAAAAAAATGAGGACGGAGGAATTGAATGAAAGCTTTTTTATACATTGGAATACTTGATCACTCGAGCGTCACTTCACTGCGTCATCGGCAGTGCTCAAAGGATCTGCCCTTATGTTGTTAAAGTTTGTTTATTTAAGAAATTCATAATAAATAATAATAAAGCAAGATACCTTGTTGAAATATGTGAGTTGTGTGGTTTATGTAAACTACAAAAGTAAAGTATAAATCCAAATGATTGTGACCGACGTGAAGGGGGAGGAGAATTGATACGTGCGTCACGTTAAGTCGATAAAACTCTTCCGCAAAGGGTACACCTGTGTATCCTCGCTCATAGCTCCTCTGGAAGCCTCCTCGCTCCTCGATCCTCGCCTCCTCGCGGTGAAATTAGAGAATTGAGATGTCCTTTAAGATGGCTGAGCTCGATTGGTTTCCGGGTCATAGGATGGAGGACGGAGGAGCGAGGAGACGAGGAGGGATATTGAGAAGCACCCTAATCACCTCATGACCGTCGGCGTCGACTGTGAGTGACGTCACTTCCCAACACAAACACGCCCCGTAGCATAACCCCACCCTCGACACTGATTGACAGATTTACGTGTAGGCATCGGAAATGCAAATACTAAGGGAATTGCGATTCCCTTTGAGTTTTGGCTGGCTACATACGCAACACTGAGAAAGTGAAAAAGCAGACGTGGTAATTGAAATTGCTATTTAAATATGACAGGGCCAAAACTCGTCAGATATGGGAAACACAGTTGCAAACGGACTTTGCTTTTCCATTTGAAATTTGGCAGTCAGTGTGCGTTCGCTTAAACGAAAATGCAAACGGTAATGCGCGATTTGCAATTGCGTTTGGATTATGTCACATTTTATGCGTCCACAAATTGAAAACGCAATTGCAAATTCAATTTGCAATTCCTTTTGAATAATGTCCGGAATATCGTTCCATACTACACAGTTAAAGGGCATATTGCAGGTTACAGGAACCAACGAGTCAATGTATAGAAAAATAATGTAGGTACTAGATTTTCTTTAAAATATACTTATAAATACGCTACAGAAGCTTCTGGAGTCGTTTTTGTGAGAAAATTTTACTTCCGCGTCTGAAAATGGGCGTGGCGGGCGTGACATAACGGGCGGGAGAGCGGTTGATTCAAACAACAGGAAAACAATGGATCGCAATGACATTTCGGATGCTGAGGAAGTACTTACTCGTATGACGGACCACAGCCATACAATTATGAGCCTGCTATGAGCCTGCTATGAGCCTGCTATGAGCCTGTTATGAGCCTGCTATGAGCCAGTTATGAGCCTGCTATGAGCCTGCTATGAGCCTGTTATGAGCCTGCTATGAGCCTGTTATGAGCCTGTTATGAGCCTGCTATGAGCCTGTTATGAGCCTGCTATGAGCCTGCTATGAGCCTGTTATGAGCCTGCTATGAGCCTGCTATGAGCCTGTTATGAGCCTGCTATGAGCCTGCTATGAGCCTGTTATGAGCCTGCTATGAGCCTGCTATGAGCCTGCTATGAGCCTGCTATGAGCCTGCTATGAGCCTGTTATGAGCCTGCTATGAGCCTGCTATGAGCCTGTTATGAGCCTGCTATGAGCCTGCTATGAGCCTGCTATGAGCCTGCTATGAGCCTGCTATGAGCCTGCTATGAGCCTGCTATGAGCCTGTGATGAGCCTGCTATGAGCCTGCTATGAGCCTGTGATGAGCCTGCTATGAGCCTGTTATGAGCCTGTGATGAGCCTGCTATGAGCCTGCTATGAGCCTGCTATGAGCCTGCTATGAGCCTGTGATGAGCCTGCTATGAGCCTGCTATGAGCCTGTTATGAGCCTGCTATGAGCCTGCTATGAGCCTGCTATGAGCCTGCTATGAGCCTGCTATGAGCCTGTTATGAGCCTGCTATGAGCCTGTTATGAGCCTGTGATGAGCCTGCTATGAGCCTGCTATGAGCCTGCTATGAGCCTGCTATGAGCCTGTGATGAGCCTGCTATGAGCCTGCTATGAGCCTGTGATGAGCCTGCTATGAGCCTGTTATGAGCCTGCTATGAGCCTGCTATGAGCCTGTGATGAGCCTGCTATGAGCCTGCTATGAGCCTGTTATGAGCCTGCTATGAGCCTGTGATGAGCCTGCTATGAGCCTGCTATGAGCCTGTTATGAGCCTGCTATGAGCCTGTGATGAGCCTGCTATGAGCCTGCTATGAGCCTGCTATGAGCCTGTTATGAGCCTGCTATGAGCCTGCTATGAGCCTGTTATGAGCCTGTGATGAGCCTGCTATGAGCCTGTGATGAGCCTGCTATGAGCCTGTGATGAGCCTGCTATGAGCCTGTTATGAGCCTGCTATGAGCCTGCTATGAGCCTGTGATGAGCCTGCTATGAGCCTGCTATGAGCCTGTTATGAGCCTGCTATGAGCCTGTGATGAGCCTGCTATGAGCCTGCTATGAGCCTGTTATGAGCCTGCTATGAGCCTGCTATGAGCCTGTGATGAGCCTGTGATGAGCCTGCTATGAGCCTGCTATGAGCCTGTGATGAGCCTGCTATGAGCCTGTTATGAGCCTGCTATGCTGCCAAGAGAGCAGGACAGGCCAGGACTAATGTCAGACAGAACGGTCAGAGACACCATGAGTTGTGGTGTGAGTGGAGAACAGGACAGGTGTCTTGGTGAGAGACGTGCTTATAGATATACACGTTCGCTAACGATATACACTGTGCTCACAATATTGTACAGATTATTACCATCGTATATCAGGCCAGCAGACATTCGTATTTTTAGGGTAGATTTATACTATTAAATGTATAAAAACTATACTTGAGTATATTTCTATTGTACTAAAAACATACCCAAGTACATATTTAATACATATTTTTCACCTGGGTTATAACATAAACAGAAAATTAAAGATTTTAATATTTAAACAACCTGAGTAATTTTGTTTTTCAATTACAAGTTGCCTCTATTTAGGGCATGACTACCTATATCACACTATTTCATGCCATTGGTACAGTATTAGACGATCAATATTTTTGCTTCGGCATCCCATGTTGAACTCCATCATATCGCCGGGATGATAATCACCGGATCTGAAGTGAACGCTACACACGACCGCGTTTCCGATGCGGAAGAGAAATCCCGTCTCTTCACCTGCACAAACCGCACCAGGCACGAAAGATATACAACAACACCGTCCCTTTTCTTGTTATGGAAACCTGTGGACTCGATGTCATGACAGGCCGGAGTTTTTGCAACCTCCACAAACAATAATTTACCATGACGATGATAAATTAAAATACAAAAACTACCGAAAACACACTGACTCACGGCCGCTCTCACTGAACACAGCCTCCTCTGCACTGAGCCGAGGCTGAGGCTCCCTGGCGGGACGTAAAATGACGCGATTTTGAAAAAAAAAGCCGTTTTTACGAGCAGTCCAAGAAACGCTCACTTTATCTACTAAATTAGTGCCCTTATGTCGTTTTAAAACATTTTAAATCCTGCATTAACTTTTCATATGGTATTTTCATACAAGGTTATATATTAATTTAGATTTTTTTTTTTACCTGCAATATGCTCTTTAAGGCGAGACACTACAGGTGAATAGGGTAAAATTTTAAAATAATAGATATCACCATGAAACTTCCTCGGTTGATTACTTACACAAGTATATAAAAAAAATGTATTACAAGTTTTTGAAATTTGTATGTTTAATTATGCAAATTAGGTATTATCTAATCAAATATGCGCGATTTTGCATATATTTTCGGTAGATAGATTTGAACATATGATAAAGCCAGGTGCAAAATTCTTTTTTCATTTTGTTTACACAAGTTCAGAGGGATTTCAGGATATATGCTTTCATTACCTAGGAAATCAAAATAAACTGTTCATAGCCTTAAAACAAAATCGATTATGCCATATTTAAAGATTTAAAGATTTAAGTAGGGAATCTAATACATTTCTATTGGAAAAAAATGCTCAAAAACAGAATAAATGCTCAGGCCCTTAGTAATAATAATGTATAATTTCAAGCTCATGAAAACTGATTTTATATATAAGGCCTACAACTGCAGTAACTCAATGAGTTAACATTGGCAGAGCCTCTGAGCGAATCACGTTAGCAGAAACCAGCAGTAGCCAATGAGATTTCGTCATTAGCTTTTAATCACCCTTCGGGCATTCACGATTGGTTACTGATAGAAAGGAAATGCCCATATTTGGGTTACATAGCGTTACAACGATACCGGTCATGACTGACTTCAGTAAACAGACGGAGCGCGGCATGACGCGTTGGAATGCTAACTTCTTGGTAAATTCGGGAGAAATTTACTGGCGCAGGTAAACAAAATGTAATAAAATAAACATCTTAATGTATATTTTCAACGTTTTCTTTATAGCAGCTTGAAAGAACACATATTGAAGGAGTAAACTAGCCCAAAATCTCAAAACTGATCACTGCATGAAAAATCAATGTTTTTGTCTCGCCTTAACAAACACTCACAAGTGCGCGCTTGAGGACCAGTCTTGAAGAAAAAAATGAGATGACAAACTTTTAAGACAGCATATTAAACACTCACACTGGATCTCTGGAGCCTCTGCGACTTCACAGAAATCGTCTTCTTGATCAATATCTGAGTATTTCTCCAGCGAGCGTGTGTGAGCGTGTGACAGAACCTCCTGTAGGAGGTCCATCTTCCGAAGCATTTTACACACGCCGTGAAGACGCAGGGCTTCCTCGTGGCGTATGATGGCTTTGCGCAGATGAGCTTTACCTTGAATATGAAATATATATATTAGTATGTGTTAACTGTAACTCTGTGTTCAGAAAACACATCCCACTACACAAACCAAGTCTCCGTTTGTCCACCGTATCTTGAAGGTTCAGTTTGTCTGGTCGTCTGGTGTGAATCTGTATGAGAGCTTTAATTTCTCCACCTTCATCATCGTCTTCATCAGGCATACCTGCATTGGTATGAAAATGATTGTTATAAACATAATCTTGTTTCTTTACAATAACGAGCACAATATGAAGAGAAACATGTACAGTAAGTAGATCAGGTCAGATTTGATGGTAAAACGGTCAATCTTTTTTTCTTTTTTTTTATGTTTTTGAAAGAAGTTACTACTGCTCACCAAGACTGCATTTATTTGATCAAAAATGCATAAAATAAATATTTAATTTATTTTTATTATCATTTTTATACACACTTTTTTTTTTTATAGATGTTTACTGTTATTTAGATTTTTTACTGAACGGTAATAGCTGATTGTTTGTCTTTGTCATTTTGTATGTTAAAACAATATCAAAACAATAAAAAATTTATATGATTTTTGAAATATTAGAATTTAAAATATTTTCTATTTGAATATATTGTAAAAATATAGTAGTATAGCTTTTTAAATTACATTATATGCAGAAGAGACTTCTTTCAAAAACATTTCAAAAATCGAAATTACTCCAAACTTTTGATCGGTAATGAATGCATGATGTCATCAGTAAATATTACATGGTCTCAAGACATTGAGAAGCACCTGAGCAGTCGCACAGCGCCACAGCGGTGTAATAATGCGCCAGCGCTCTGAAATGATGCGTTTTGACCTGAACCATGGAGATCCAGGAGAAGGGCACATAGTCCTTCAGTAACGGCACTGACATCGCCTGAAGAACCAGAGAATACACGTCTGATACCTGCAAACACACACGGTTATTAACACATGAAAACCCCACAACATGCATTCTTTCAAGTTGTGTGTGTGTGTCCTGGTAAACCCTAGGTTATTACAAAGATAGTAATAGGAGTCATTTCTGACCTTGTGGGGACATTTTTTGGTCCCCATGAGGAAAACGGCTTATAAATAAATTATGTTTTTTTTGAAAATGTAAAAATGCAGAGCGTTTTGTGTAAGTGAGTGTGTGAGAGAGTGAGTGTGTGTGGAGTGAGTGAATGTGTGAGTGTGCGAGTGAGTTAGTGTGTGAGTGAGTTAGTGTGTGATTTAGTGTGCGAGTGAGTGTGCGAGTGAGTGTGCAAGTGTGTTAGTGAGTGTGCTAGTGAGTGTGCTAGTGAGTGTGCGAGCGTGTTAGTGAGTGAGTGTGCGAGTGAGTGTGCGAGTGTGTTAGTGAGTGTGCGAGTGAGTGTGCGAGTGAGTGAGTGTGCGAGTGAGTGTGCGAGTGCGTGAGTGAGTGCGTGAGTGTGTGAGTGAGTGTGTTAGTGAGTGTGCGAGTGTGTTAGTGAGTGAGTGTGCGAGTGAGTGTGCGAGTGTGTTAGTGAGTGTGCTAGTGAGTGTGCTAGTGAGTGTGCGAGCGTGTGAGTGAGTGAGTGTGCGAGTGTGTTAGTGAGTGTGCGAGTGAGTGTGCGAGTGTGTGAGTGAGTGAGTGCGTGAGTGAGTGCGTGAGTGTGTGAGTAAGTGTGCTAGTGAGTGTGTTAGTGAGTGTGCGAGTGAGTGAGTGTGCGAGTGTGTTAGTGAGTGAGTGTGCGAGTGAGTGTGCGAGTGTGTTAGTGAGTGAGTGTGCGAGTGAGTGTGCGAGTGAGTGCGCGAGTGTGTGAGTGAGTGTACTAGTGAGTGTGCGAGTGAGTGAGTGTGCTAGTAAGTGTGCGAGTGTGTTAGTGAGTGAGTGTGCGAGTGAGTGTGCGAGTGTGTTAGTGAGTGAGTGTGCGAGTGAGTGTGCGAGTGTGTGAGTGAGTGTGCAAGTGTGCGAGTGAGTGTGCGAGTGTGTGAGTGAGTGAGAGTGCGAGTGAGTTAGTGTGTGAGTTAGTGTGTGAGTGAGTGTGTAAGTGAGTGTGTTAGTGAGTGTGTTAGTGAGTGTGCTAGTGAGTGTGCTAGTGAGTGTGCGAGTGAGTGAGTGTGCTAATGAGTGTGCGAGTGAGTTAGTGTGTGAGTTAGTGTGTGAGTTAGTGTGTGAGTTAGTGTGTGAGTGAGTGTGCGAGTGAGTTAGTGTGTGAGTGAGTGAGTGTGCTAGTGAGTGTGTTAGTGAGTGTGTTAGTGAGTGTGCGAGTGTGTGAGTTAGTGTGTGAGTTAGTGTGTGAGTGAGTGTGCGAGTGAGTTAGTGTGTGAGTGAGTGAGTGTGCTAGTGAGTGTGTTAGTGAGTGTGCGAGTGAGTGAGTGAGTGTGCTAGTGAGTGTGTTAGTGAGTGTGCGAGTGAGTTAGTGTGTGAGTGAGTTAGTGTGTGAGTGAGTTAGTGTGAGTGCGTGAGTGTGTGAGTGAGTGTGTGAGTGAGTGTGTGAGTTAGTGTGTAAGTGAGTGTGCGAGTGAGTGTGCGAGTGAGTGTACGAGTGAGTGTGCGAGTGAGTGTGTGAATGAGTGTGTAAGTGAGTGAGTGTGCGAGTGAGTGTGTTAGTGAGTGTGCTAGTGAGTGTGCTAGTGAGTGTGCGAGTGAGTGTGCTAGTGAGTGTGCGAGTGAGTGTGCGAGTGAGTGAGTGTGTGAGTGAGTGTGTGAGTGAGTGTGCGAGTGTGTTAGTGTGTGAGTGAGTTAGTGTGTGAGTGCGTGAGTGTGTGTGTGAGTGAGTTAGTGTGCGAGTGAGTGTGCGAGTGAGTGTGTGAGTTAGTGTGTGAGTGAGTGTGCGAGTGAGTGAGTGTGCGAGTGAGTTAGTGTGTGAGTGAGTGAGTGTGCTAGTGAGTGTGTTAGTGAGTGTGCGAGTGAGTGAGTGAGTGTGCTAGTGAGTGTGTGAGTGAGTGTGCGAGTGAGTTAGTGTGTGAGTTAGTGTGTGAGTTAGTGTGTGAGTTAGTGTGTGAGTGAGTGTGCGAGTGAGTTAGTGTGTGAGTGAGTTAGTGTGTGAGTGAGTGAGTGTGCTAGTGAGTGTGTTAGTGAGTGTGCGAGTGAGTGAGTGAGTGTGCTAGTGAGTGTGTTAGTGAGTGTGCGAGTGAGTTAGTATGTGAGTGAGTTAGTGTGTGAGTGCGTGAGTGTGTGAGTGAGTGTGTGAGTGAGTGTGTGAGTGAGTGTGTGTGTGAGTTAGTGTGTGAGTGTGTGTGTGAGTTAGTGTGTGAGTGTGTAAGTGAGTGTGCGAGTGAGTGTGCGAGTGAGTGTACGAGTGAGTGTGCGAGTGAGTGTGTGAATGAGTGTCCTAGTGAGTGTGCGAGTGAGTGTGCTAGTGAGTGTGCGAGTGAGTGTGCGAGTGAGTTAGTGTGTGAGTTAGTGTGCGAGTGAGTTAGTGTGTGAGTGAGTTAGTGTGTGAGTGAGTTAGTGTGTGAGTGAGTTAGTGTGTGAGTGAGTTAGTGTGTGAGTGTGTGAGTGAGTGAGTGTGTGAGTGAGTGTGTGAGTGAGTTAGTGTGCGAGTGAGTGTGTGAGTGAGTGAGTGAGTGAGTGAGTGTGCGAGTGAGTGTGTTAGTGAGTGTGCTAGTGAGTGTGCGAGTGAGTGTGCTAGTGAGTGTGCGAGTGAGTGTGCGAGTGAGTTAGTGTGTGAATTAGTGTGTGAGTGAGTGTGCGAGTGAGTTAGTGTGTGAGTGAGTTAGTGTGTGAGTGAGTTAGTGTGTGAGTGAGTTAGTGTGTGAGTGTGTGAGTGAGTGAGTGTGTGAGTGAGTGTGTGAGTGAGTTAGTGTGCGAGTGAGTGTGTGAGTGAGTGTGTGAGTGAGTGAGTGTGTGAGTGAGTGTGCGAGTGTGTTAGTGTGCGAGTGAGTGTGTGAGTTAGTGTGTGAGTAAGTGTGTGTGTGAGTGAGTGTGTGAGTGAGTGTGTGAGTGAGTGTGTGAGTGAGTGTGTGAGTGAGTGTGCGAGTGTGCGAGTGTGTTAGTGTGTGAGTGTGTGAGTGCGTGAGTGTGTGAGTGAGTGTGTGAGTGAGTTAGTGTGCGAGTGAGTGTGCGAGTGAGTGTGCGAGTGAGTGAGTGAGTGAGTGTGTGAGTGTGTTAGTGTGTGAGTTAGTGTGTGAGTAAGTGTGTGAGTAAGTGTGTGAGTAAGTGTGTGAGTGAGTGTGTGAGTTAGTGTGTGAGTGAGTGTGTGAGTTAGTGTGTGAGTTAGTGTGTGAGTGAATGAGTGAGTGTGTGAGTGAGTGTGTGAGTGAGTGTGCGAGTGTGTTAGTGTGCGAGTGAGTGTGTGAGTTAGTGTGTGAGTGAGTTAGTGTGTGAGTGTGTGAGTGAGTGAGTGTGTGAGTGAGTGTGTGAGTGAGTTAGTGTGCGAGTGAGTGTGTGAGTGAGTGAGTGAGTGAGTGAGTGTGCGAGTGAGTGTGTTAGTGAGTGTGCTAGTGAGTGTGCGAGTGAGTGTGCTAGTGAGTGTGCGAGTGAGTTAGTGTGTGAGTGAGTTAGTGTGTGAGTGAGTTAGTGTGTGAGTGAGTTAGTGTGTGAGTGAGTTAGTGTGTGAGTGTGTGAGTGAGTGAGTGTGTGAGTGAGTGAGTTAGTGTGCGAGTGAGTGTGTGAGTGAGTGTGTGAGTGAGTGAGTGTGTGAGTGAGTGTGCGAGTGTGTTAGTGTGCGAGTGAGTGTGTGAGTTAGTGTGTGAGTAAGTGTGTGTGTGAGTGAGTGTGTGAGTGAGTGTGTGAGTGAGTGTGTGAGTGTGTGAGTGAGTGTGCGAGTGTGCGAGTGTGTTAGTGTGTGAGTGTGTGAGTGCGTGAGTGTGTGAGTGAGTGTGTGAGTGAGTTAGTGTGCGAGTGAGTGTGCGAGTGAGTGTGCGAGTGAGTGAGTGAGTGAGTGTGTGAGTGTGTTAGTGTGTGAGTTAGTGTGTGAGTAAGTGTGTGAGTAAGTGTGTGAGTAAGTGTGTGAGTGAATGAGTGAGTGTGTGAGTGAGTGTGTGAGTGAGTGTGCGAGTGTGTTAGTGTGCGAGTGAGTGTGTGAGTTAGTGTGTGAGTGAGTGAGTGAGTGTGTGAGTGAGTGTGTGAGTGAGTGTGTGAGTGAGTGTGTGAGTGAGTGTGTGAGTGTGTGAGTGAGTGAGTTAGTGTGTGAGTTAGTGTGTGAGTTAGTGTGTGAGTGTGTGAGTTAGTGTGTGAGTTAGTGTGTGAGTTAGTGTGTGAGTGAGTGTGTGAGTGAGTGAGTGTGCGAGTGTGTTAGTGTGTGAGTTAGTGTGAGTAAGTGTGTGAGTAAGTGAGTGTGTGAGTGAGTGTGTGAGTGAGTGTGTGAGTGAGTGTGTGAGTGAGTGTGCGAGTGAGTGTGCGAGTGTGTTAGTGTGTGAGTGAGTTAGTGTGTGAGTGAGTTAAGTGTGTGAGTGAGTGTGTGTGTGTAAGTGAGTGAGTGAGTGAGTGAGTGAGTGAGTGAGTGAGTGAGTGAGTGAAAGAGAGATTGTGTGTGTGTGAGAGAGTGAGTCTCAGTGTGAGTGTGTGTTCGTTCACCCTCGCTGCCTCCTGGGCGGCTTGCAGAAGCACATTCAGGTTGTTGTCCTGCGTGAGAATGACCTTTTCACACACACACTCCTGAACCTGCGATTAATAAACCCAGAAATACACGAGTTACTACACATTTGACTCTCAAACACATTTAGTCCTGGTTTGATTAGCGTTCACACTGTCATTTAAGACTGAACCTAGAGATACAAAAAAAAAATTCTACATTTATTTCTATGAACCTCGGTTCATTACCTGAGCTACCATGAGGCGGACCAGCATGCTCAGAGCAGGGCCGCTCATATCCAGACTGGGCGCATGAGAGAAGTTCTCCTGCAGGTAGAGAAACGCACCTACACACACACACACGTCACATTTACAAGCTCATTTATATAAGCAAAGAGCTTCAGATCTTCAGGTCAGCAATAAGTAGTGCAATGCACATGAGGATTATGAGTTTAGATTATGAGTGTTTTTTTTTATTGAACACAGATAGAGTGTTTAACACAAACACTTTTATATATATATATAGTGAGAACAGGGGTCATCTCAGAAAACGCTGTCATTTGTGTTCTTTTGTCCTACAACTGATATAATTGACTGACAGCAACTTACATTATTTGATAGATTCAACTGTTAGGTGAAGGTGTGATGATATTTGCTAGTTAATGGACATTTTTCATGTTTGTCAGTGTCAAATGTTGTGCCATTTACCGTAATATTTTTTTTAATGATGTGTAACTTATTTTTTTAAAGCCCCCCTGTGGTGAAAATCCAGCTTTTAATGTTGTTTATGTGTCTATGTGGTGTTTTTAATACGCTTTAAGACACACCATGTGTAAGTTCATAAGTCGACAGCATTGCTGAGTATTTTCTGCTTAAAACTGCAGTGAACCAAAGACAGTCTCAAAAACACGGTTTGAAATCGCTGGTGTTTCTGACGTCACAAACGACCTTGTAACCAATCAGATCAACGTGTGATCGTCAACCAGTGGATCTCTGAATTTACTGACATCTATTTAAATGACCAGTAAATGAATTCCAATCGTACTGTGACACGTTTCTTGTGAATGACCCACAGAAAAGTAAAATCAACAGATGATTCAGTACCGGCCGCCCTCTGGAAAGCATCGATGGCGTTCTGAACGCCCGTCAGTGTGGAACGATCTTGTCTGGCTCCGATTTGAGTATAAAGTGCTCCGATGTTGAACAAAACACTCCCTTTCTCGAACGCTAGCGCTCTCTGAACGGAAGGCACACCGGTCAGCGAGTCATACCTGCAACGAGACACATGATCAGACCATCTCTAACCTAGTGTTGTCAAAAGTACAGACTTCGGTACCAAGTCGATACTGAAATTTAAAAAATGTGCCGCTTTGAGTGGAATCATAAACACATCTGATTGGCCATTGTGTTCACGAGCTCATTGGATATGTCTGTGATTGGCTACAATGATCAACGCACGGGAGCGTTTGAGAGCACACCGAAGTGTTTGAAAGCAGGAGCAGGACCGATCCGCTGATAGACGCTTGCTTTCAAACGCTCGCGTGTGTATTGGTGTAAGCCAGTGGTCGGGAAATTATGGCTCGCAAGCCACACCTGGCTCTTTGGCAAAAATCATGTGGCTCGCAAGGTCTCTCACCCTTTACCAACAAAAAAATGAAGACGCATCAATAGCAGAAAAAGCAGCCAATTACAATTCCCTTATAGTACACCCCACCGAAGTTAATGAAAAGTTTATGATGATAATAATAATAATATTCATGTTGTACCACCAAAAGTGCATGTTCAGTGCTGTTCGCGAGTGTCATGAGTCATCACAGCAATCAATTAACGGTTATGACACATGATAAATGTGTAGTGTTTTTGATAATCCGCGCAGACTTCAGTTGACGATTGTGTTAAAAGTTATTAAAGGGATAGTTCACGTTGAAATACATTTTTGGTATGTTTTAGCTTACCTCAAGGGCATCCAAGATGTAGGTGTCTTTGTTTCCGCAGTAGTTTCAATTTTGATATTTTTAGGTCAAACCGTTCTTGTCTGTCAGTCATATAAGGCAGGTCTATGGTCTCCACCTCAAAGAGCATGCACAGAGAAGTCCAAATTAAACATGATTTAATGACTCGTAAATGTAAGTACACACTGATGGCCTAAGACACGAAACGAGTGGTTTGTGTGAGAAAACGAACAGTATTTATATCGTTTTTACCTCTTGTAAACACAGCCACGTCCAAGTGATCTGAGGGCGCCGGCGCTTCGGTCTGGAAGTGATCTCTCGGGCGTGTACGTCACTCATTGTTTACACAGAGATTCGTCTTCCGTTGCAATTTCCTGTATATCTAAATATGTTTAGATCTTCACAGTGAAAGGTAACACTTCCGAAATCTCTGTGTAAACAATGAGTGACGTACAGGCGCGAGAGATCACTTCCAGACCGAAGCGCCCGCGCCCGCGCCCTCAGATCACTTGGACGTGGCTGTGTTTACAAGAGGTAAAAACGATATAAATACTGTTCGTTTTCTCACACAAACCGCTCGTTTCGTGTCTTAGGCCATCAATGTGTACTTACATTTACGAGTCATTAAATCATGTTTAATTTGGACTTCTCTGTGCATGCTCTTTAAGGTGGAGACCATAGACCTGCATTATATGACTGACAGACAAGAACGGTTTGACCTAAAAATATCAAAATTGAAACTACTGCGGAAACAAAGACACCTACATCTTGGATGCCCTTGAGGTAAGCTAAAACATACCAAAAATTAATTTCAAAGTGAAGTATCCCTTTAATTAACACAAAACATGAAGGAATGAGGAGAAAAAAAAGAGCAGGATGTGCTTTATATTGAAAAGAAATATTAAAAGCGCGATAAGTCGTGAAAGAGAACGGAATTCTAATGACAGGATGCTGTGCGCGTGCCGAGCGCAACATGGACAAGCGTAGTAGCCTTTTTCTTCGGTTGCGCACCTAAACGGACAAATAAACACAGAAATATATCAAAATGCCAAGTCGAGTATTCACGTAAACACAGTAGATGTAAGTACTGTGTGCATTCTCTCTCTCTCTCTCTCTCTCTCTCTCTCTCTCTCTCTCTCTCTCTCTCTCTCTCTCTCTCTCTCTCTCTCTCTCTCTCACACACACACACACGGAGAGGATTTATGCTCATCAGTTGGTAACTCAAGCCCCGTTTACACGATGGGAAAATGCAGATATTTCTCTGCGTTTTGCCCTCTCATTTACACGAAAACGCTGTTTTTATCACAGAAAACGATTATTTCTAAAAACTCCGGGCAAAGTGGAGATTTCTGAAAACGCCGGTTATGTGTTGCCGTGTAAACTGGGAGGAACGGGGTTTTAGGTTCTCTCTTGTCGATTCTGAGGATTTTGATTGGCTTGCATGGCTTTATCCTTCTCCCTACACTGCCGCCCATAGGTTTGGCATAGTTATGATGGCGCTCGACGGCGTATTTATGCGGGTGTGTGCACGATGTTATTTTTGAAAACGGAGAGGGGGAAAATATTAGTTTCTCTAAATACCCGGCTATGTGTAAACGTAGCCTTAACCTCACAGTGAAAGCCCTGCACAATTAATACATATTGAAACTTTATTGTTTGCTGAATATGTTTGTTTCTAGTTGTCTATGGACCTAATAATTACTGCTGTTGAAATTTTATTGAAAAAAAGTACGTCTTTAATAATAATATTATATATATTTTTTACTGTGGCTCTTTTGGAAAAATGCATTAACCAAAAATGAAAAAATGGCTCTTTGGTCTAAAAAGGTTCCCGACCCCTGGTGCAAGCGCTCGCTGAAGAGCGTCATTGATGTATATTTACATGTTTTTGAAGCGCTGATCATTGTAGCCAATCACAGACATATTTGATGAGCATAACGGCCAATCAGAGGCGTTTATGATTCTGCTCAACAGCGCTCAAAGCATCACATTTTTAAAATTTCGGTATCAACTTGGTACCGAAGTCGGTACTTTTGACAACCCTACTCTAACCACTGCTCATTCATTTGTTTGTGTGCCACAGTGAGTCTCACCAGTGAAAGTGAATCCCCAAACTTCTGTGTGGTGAGAAGAAGCGCTGGTCCAGGAAATACAGCTGATTGTAATATTCCATCAGCAGCTCCTGCCCCGCTTCATTCCTGCTGGGAGTACGCATGGCCTACGAAGAGAGGTGAGCTTTTAAAATAATGATTTGACTTGTGTTTGCACATGCACTTTCAGTGATAACCACTTCTTTTGTTTTGAAGAATGACATGCAATCAAAATGTACTTCTTAAAGCTACACAATGTAACTTTTGGCCCTCTAATGGTGATAAAAACCGCATGCATCTTGCGAAAAAACTAGGGATGCACCGATATGAACATTTGGGCTGATACCGATAACCGATAATTCTTTATATTTGAAAGGCGATTAATCTAAACCCAAAGTTGTTATAATTTTTAGAGCCTGATTACAAAAACAAAAGTCTCATCATTAAAAGCCACGTCCCAAACACACAATTATAATGATGTTCTCATAATTTCTTGTAGCCGATATGACAGATTTTGCACTGCACATGTTGCATTAACTGTATTTTCCGTTTTTGAAGTGATTACAATCATATTTCAAGCAATTCAAACCCATCATGTTGAACAGTCGCATCTGAAGCGTCTCAACTGAAGGAAATAATTCATTATTTATCAGCTTTAACCCTCTGGGCTTCTTTGTTTAGGGGTTACACTTGGCTTCCTTTCGGTCAAAAAAGACAGAAGCCTTAAAATGTAACTTTTTTCCCCCCAGGAAAACCATTCAAATATATTTTTGTTCAATAATATTTTCTTATTATTATTTAGAATTTTTAAAGATTTTTATGATACTTTGCATAATTTATATAATTTTTACGAGCTATGTTTTCCATTAGAATTTTTTTATTATTTTATTATTATTATATAAAAAAAATTTTTTCAAAAAACTCAACGTGGCACATTAAAATATAATGCTGGCAGCAGGCAAAAAAAAATTCAAGTGAGAATACCGCCATCCAGTGGCTTTAAAAATGTTTTAAAGTGTGTAATGTCCATAACCGCCTGTAGGCTGCCCATAGCTTCCTATGTAAATACATAGAAATGCTTTTTGATTCCTATTGCTGTTTTAGACATGATTTCTCTCTCTTATTCGTTTTTTTTTATTTAGATATATATTTAGATATGCTAAAAGACTACTTTTTTTTTTTTTTTTAGATAAGTAAAAATGTATAAATGTGTGTAATGTCCGTAACCGCCTGTAGGCTTCCTATATAAATACATAGAAAGGCTTTTTGATTCATATTGTTGTTTTAGACATGATGAGGTGTGTGTGTGTGTGCATTTGAGCGAGAAAGACTAGCCTATCTTTTGTACTTTATTTTAATTTTTGATTTTATTTAGCATTTTCTCAACATTTGCTGTTACAGTCTTTCCTATTCATTTCTCTGTGTGTGTGTGTGTTTGTGTGCGTGGGTGTGTGTGTGTGTGGGGGGGGGGGGGGGGTGTGTCTTATTTGCACTCTTGATGTTTTAGAGTGTCACCCCTTCATTGCTGTACACTTTTTTTCTGCACAGTGGCTGATCTGTAGTTTGTACCACCAAAAGTTTCTCTGAGTTTTCCTATTTTTTCGTATTTCCCATTAATTTCCTATGTCGGTCATTTTTGACCGAAAGGAAGCTAAGTGTGACTATTTTTTTTAAGACCCTTTAACATATCCGAATCATCTCCTTGATTTTTTTGTGTGTTCACATAGGTAATACAACAAAAGTCACCAAGTTTCATCCCCCTCCGATGAAGCAAAAAAATTAAACATTTCAAAACGTATACTGTTTCGGTCATTTTTGACCGAAGAAGCCCAGAGGGTTAATATATCAGCCAAATTTTCTTATCGGGCCGATAACGATAACATTAAAAATTAACATATATCGTTCGATACCGATATAGTGACCGCAGGGTCCGAAATTAACACCCGCCAAGCGCCAAATGCGGGTAGATTTTCCGTTTGGCGAGTAAATCTCAAAAGGCTATCCGCCCCACTGGCGGGTGAATGTTCATACCAAAATAGTAATGTAACGAGTTAACGTTAACGAGTCCTCTTATCGATGCTCCTGCTCCAAAGCGAATTTTTGTCCCGCCATAGTCTTATTTGATCTGTGAGTAGTGCGTGTGACAGGGCGCAACTGAAGCACGAGCAGAGAGAGAGCCCCGGTCGCGCGCGCGCACTCTTTCTCTTAGCGCTGTCTTGCTCTCTCTCCTTGTCACATATTAATCAAAATAAATCGACACGATGGTAAAAGGTCGGAAGACCATTGTTTCATGTGGAGCATTCGGATATATTTTTTCCTGAATTACCGCTGGGTGTGAATTGTGCTAAAATACCTTATCTTCTCCTAAGCGTTCCGCACTTTAAATAAACGAAAAAACCTATCCAGTGATTAAATGTTTTCTGTGTTGACACAAATCTTGTGGGATGTCCTTGCTGCCGGGATAATCACACAACGCGAACACATCCGATAATGACACGTCCAATTCGCGAACTGATGACTCCTTTGAACCTATTCATTTTAATGAATGGTTAAAACAACTGATATTTCCAGTCCTTAAGTTACTGATCGGATCAGTCAGAGTAAATAGAGTAAAAAAAAAAATAGGCAGAGTAAAACTAAATATTTTTTTAAAATAATTATAATATATTATTATTGCATATATTTTATTAAATATACAATTAATACATTTTTATTTGTACAGAACTATTTTCATATAGGCACCACCACAAAAATATTATTTTAATGTGTGTAAATTGTGTAATATGTTTGTAAATCAAAGTAAAAATGGAAAATAATAGACCAGAAATATGACAAAAATGTTTAAATATAGCCTATATATAAATTAATGTATATGTGACACAAAAGGGCTGTTTATTATTTTGGCCGGTAAAAAATATGCTTGGCTGATGGATTTTTTCATCTACCAGTCCCCGTGGCAGGTGAGCCAAAAAGTTAATTTCGGACCCTGAGTGACCGATATATCGTGCATCCCTAGAAAGAACATTGTTTTTGATGTGCTTGGGCTCTGCTCCTCTGCATGGATGAATGTAGTTGAAGGCACAAGTCTTTATGTGGACAGCGGACATCTCTTTAGAGAAGATGGACAAATAAATAATTTCCCAGAGGTTTTTTGTTTTGAATGATCAATGGTCAATTTTCCTCGCTGGTTGCGACAACAGTTTCACGCTACTCACTATTCTCAGTGTAGATTTATCAAATTGTATTTAGAAAGATTTTTGCACTCTCGCATGCATATTTTCGTATTTTTTAATGAAATAATGTAGTATTTATTATAAATTATTATCCGTGCACATTATTATATTTTTTCAATTCATGGGCCTCATAATCTTGAATTCTGATTTGATTATATAGCCCTGTCTACGGCCCTGTATTAGGCATAAGATCAATAATGAATGTGTAGCCTACATATTGTGATTTAATTTTAAAGGCACACTATGCAAGAATTGTACCTTAATATAACAGCTTCAAAGTCATTTCGGTGGTAAACAAACTCACAGTAGGGCGAATCATCCTGGTAGTAAAGCTTGGGGGGGACGCCGCTGGAAAAACCAGCAATGCAAGTTTGAGAGGAGCGCCCCCGACAAATCTCGCGAGAATAACGACATGCTTTACGGCAACGACGTCACACACATCAACAACAATATATGAAGCACGAAGACACTTGCGTGCATTTCAGACGTGATACTCGACGATGGAAAAAGCAAAGAAAACACGGTCGGAAGACACTAGGAAAAGGAAAAGAGAATCTGACCGCGTGAGGAACTGGAAAAGAGTCCCTGATTCGCCCTCGCTATGTGTGTGCGTGTTGTGTGAGTGAGCGCGGCTGATCAGCGCGGCTGATGAGCTGATCAGCGCCAGCTGTTTTGAATGAGGATGTCATATATATTGTTTTTTTTACCTCGTCCTGTCTATGTCAGATGGTAGTTGAGGCTACCAGGGTTCTACTCACCGTGTTCTCCTGCATTCCACTCCTGTAAGTTACCCATGCAGTGGTTTCCTGAGATTTTCCCGGAGAAATTTCTACCTGTTCATGCATGTCTGCCCACTGCGTCCCTGTTTTTCCGAGCCTGAGTCTTCTTCTGCCTGCTTTTGACCCACACGGCTATCTACTATTGTGCTCAATAAATTACTGTTTACTCGCAACTGAATCCTTTGACTATTTCCTTCAGAGTTGTGACAGTCCCACTCGGTCGGGCTTTCACTAGTTGGCGCGAGCTAAAAAGCAGCACTGGATGCAACAGCGATGCTGACCTGGCTATCTTGTTGATAGACTAGTAAATAAATCTCTTATTTCTAAACTTGTTTGCGTTCTATGTTGTTGCGCTTGCTTGTAGTATGGCATTTTTTTACGATGCTGTTCATTCATCCATTGTTGATAATTAGACCTGTCCAGTAATTTCCACATATGTCTAGCTAGCTATTTACGACAGTGCAAGTATTCCACAGCGACTATAGGGGTCGCTGTTTGACAAAAACACAATTTCTGCATGGTGTGGCTTTAATAAAGTTAGTTACCTAACTTTCCTAGTAGCTTTCAGTAAATGAACGCGTCTAAGAAAATTATTCATCATGTTTATGGTTTTAAAGCTAATCCATTTTTTTTGGCCTTCAAAACATCTTAAAATGCAGTGCACATATGTAGATTAAAGAAATCAAAGTTTTCTCTGGGAAACACCCTAACTAGCCTACCTCACATTCAATGATTATAAAACCCTGCCATATGCATGTTAATAAAACTAGGCTAGTTAATAGTGAGCATTAGATCCTAAAATAAAGTGTTACTTAAAAAAAAATCATACCCTCATTGGGGGCTGAGCCCCCCTAAAATGAAAATCCTAGAATCACCCCTAACGTTAACACACCGGACACCTTCCGCTGTTGTTCTGTGTGCTGAATAACTTGCCTTTCCAGATTAAATGTCTGTTCTTGGTCTTGGATTTTGTGAAATAAATTTCTAAATATATATGCGACTTATAATCCGGTGCGACTTATATGTTTTTTTTCCCTCTTCATGACGCATTTTTTGATTGATGCGACTTATAGTCCGGAAAATACGGTACTTGAATTTAATCGAGGAATCATGATAGCCCTAGTTGTGATGTGATCAGCGTTTCATGTTGACTTTAACTGACCTGTCTAAGTTCCATGAACACCTGGATCTCGTTCAGGTACAGAGACGCATCCTCACTGTAATGTTCACTGATGAAATCCTGATGAAACCGAAGAGAAAGAGTTTAAACACTGAATAAATTCAATAATGCATGTAAGCTACCACATGAGTGTTGATCTCACCTGAAGAGGTGCAGTCATGTCGCTCTCTTTAGTCTCCTTCAACCCCAGTGGAATCATGGGAACATTGACCGTCTCGCTACAACACAATGAGAATTCATTTTTAAATGTTCAATGCATGTATTTTAATACTGCAAGTAAATGACAAACGTTCTGCACACTTATAACCTGACGACTGTTGATCATTCTAGAAATGCATAAATGATGACTATGCAACAAATTAAACCAAATGACTTTTAAGTTGCCAAATCACTTGATGTAAGTGGATGTTCACGTGATAAATAAAGGTGCAAGAAACATAAGCATGCATTATTTAAATAAAAAAAACACCCAAATCACACAAATAGTTTATGCTAATGCTTTTTTTTTTTGCTGCATTTGCAACAATTTGGAGCCCTCCTTGCATAAAACTACACATTTGTTTTGCAAACCTGATTTGAGAAATTGTTGATCTAAGATAAATAATTTCATTAATCTAACATGATTTCATTGTTGTTTTTTCAGGATAAGCCTGTGGTTTTCTGTCCTTTAATCAAGTTTACTGAGTTATCAGAGCAAGATATTAGAGATATTCTCAAACTATATTTCACCAGGTATTAAAGGGGTCATATAATGGTACATGCACTTTTACAAGTTGATTGTACTGAAATGTGTGTTGGCAG